GTTTGGGGTATACTTTTGGGGTTTGCGAATTTTTAAAAAATTTAGGGTGACGGATTTTTTACCTATATATTTTACAATAATTCACATATTCTCCTATGGTATAACCATATTACAACGAGTCAACAACATTTTCTACAGCCTAAAGGTTGTTAAATTTCAGAAAGGGCATAGGGGAACAAGCCTGGGAAAACTGTCCCAGGCGATATTGCAAAATTTTAGATGAGGATTGGTAGATAGGAACCTAATGGATAAGAATTCCAATTTTCAAATATTTTGATCCGCTGGTTTACGAGTAATCTGCCGCAACTAAAGAACATATCACTTGATGTATCTTCCCTTCGGTGGTTCTTGAGAAAACTTTTTTGATGCCAATAATTTTTGTGTTAACCTTCAAGAATGTCAGCCATTCTTTGGATTTTTACCATTCTTATAAGCTAACAAAAATCGCGATTCAAATTTTCAAAAAATTGGTTCAAGACTTTCCAAGTCTGACAACACCGCCAATTTTTTACAGTTTGTGTGTCCTATAACCATCTACTTCATATAAAATATTCATAATTTTTCGAGTGGTGCAACAGTGTTAAACAAACAAAAAACTGAAGAATTTATTTCTGAGAGGGTAGGAATAGAGTCAATAAAATATATTTGGCTTGTAAATAGTTAGTTCTAAGACCAGAATTATTATCAAAGAGTAAAGTTTTCAATATTATGGGTGAAAAGTGGTCCGAATTATAAAATGTTTGGCATGTATTTGCTTGTAATTGATTTAATAGGGACCCAGTCCCAGTCTAGTCCCCACAGCTTCGAATTTCATATCCTCCCTGGACAGAGATTTCATAAGAAATCTCTTGAGCATGGATGACCAACAAATACTTTAATTATGTGATTCCAAAGAAATCGCGGTCCAAAGAGGATTACTTAATATGCGATTCTTTCGGTACCATCGTTATCAGTGCTGCCATTTTGTCCTTTTTCCGGACAGATCTGTCCTTTTTTAAACTGCCTCAGCCGGAAAAAAATCAAAACATCCCCTATCCGGAAATCTGTCCTTTTTTTTTCTTAACAAACTGAATATTTTTTTTTTTTAAATCCATACTATTTTATTCTTGGTCACATTAAATAAACCTTTGAGTATCGTTCGATAGTTCTGTAAAGCTATCGGTGGATTGTTTGGTGCTGTAGTATGGTCACACTACTATTGTAGCGTCCCTGTTTTCGTCGACTTTCAAGATGCCTAAAGAAATCTACAAACAAAAGTTTCGGGAATCGTGGCTCAATCAAGCAGAGTTTAAGAATTGGATGTGTCGAGATCCCAAAGACTCCACAAAGGCATACTGCACATATTGCAAATGCAGCCTGAATTCCAAAGTTGATCAAATTCGTGCGCACATGATTACAAAAAAACATGTGCAAAACGCTTTACCTTTTGCGCAGTCTAATAAGATTAATTTTCAACCAAAGCCGAAAGACGATGTTTGTGTGCAGGAGGCGGCGTTATCAATGTATATAGCTCAACATAGTTCTATTGAACCAGTTGGGCATTTAACTGATATATGCCAACATCATTTTGGCGCCGCTCTTATTCAATTGCGCCGCACAAAATGCACCAATATAATAAAACACGTTCTAGCACCTCATTTCCAAGAGGATTTGCGAAACGACATTGGAAATTCAAAATATAGTTTGTTGATTGATGAATCTACAGATATAAGCATAACAAAACTTCTCGGTAAGACAAAAGCCATTGCTTCTTAGAACTTTTTTTTAATATGTATAACTTTTTAGGTGTTGCTGTAATTTATTACAGTGTTGAGCACAAAAAAATTGTGTCAACATTTTTGACTTTAATTTCAATTGAAAATGGAACTGCTTCATGCATCACCGAATGCCTGCGTGCGGAATTGCTGGACCTGAAACTACCATTAAAAAACCTTATAGGCATCGGAACAGACAACGCAAATGTCATGATTGGCAAGAAAAGAGGGGTCTACGCCGAACTCAAAAAGGAGGTTCCAAATTTAATGTTAATAAAGTGTGTGTGTCACTCCGTGCAATTAGCTGTAAACGCTGCTTGCAAGCAAACATTGCCTCAAACTCTTGAGTTTCTAGTGAGCGAGACTTACGCGTGGTTTTGTAAGAGCTCCAGCAGGCAAATTTCTTATAAGAATCTATACGAAAGTCTTAACAACGATGAGGTAAAACCTTAAATGATATGGGTAGTAAAATTTATATATGTTTTAACACTCCAATGTGTATCTTTTTCAGATAACTAATAAGTCCTCGTTTTAGTACTAATTACCTATTAATAACTTTGGATATGAAGTGTGTGTTTGTCCCAGTAGTCAATTGAATATATTATTTACTTATAATTAATAAGAAAATATTGTATTTTATAAAGGCTCCACTAAAAATCCCTAGAGTCTGTGATACTAGGTGGCTATCAATTGAGTGTGCAGTTAAGAGAATTCTACAACAATGGAATGAGTTAAAAACACATTTTAACCATGCTGCTTTGAATGAAAATTGTCATAAGGCCGAAATTTTACGAGATTTATACAATGACGAAGAAAATTTAGCATATCTGGTGTTCCTTAGGCCTATTTTGGAAGATATGCAGAGGATAAATAAAAGTTTTCAAAGCCGCGACTCTAACCCGACAAAACTTCTGAGGGATCTCATTTTTGGAATCAATACCTTAAAACAAAAAGTTATAGCTCCAGATGTCGATGTCGATATTTTCAAAGATGATTTCCCCCGCTTTGTAAACCGGAACCTATACTTAGGCTACGAGTTTGAATCAAAAGTTCAAGAACTTAAAGATTCGAAATATCGCATTCGTACCAAATGCATCGATTTTGTTATATGCCTTATACATCAACTCATTCAAAGGTAAAATTGTATTTTTTCATAATTAGTTTCACTAATTTTGCTTTTCACATTAGATTGCCGGAAAATTTTGCAATTTTGCAAAATATAGATTTGTTTTCTGTGGAAAACGTATTAAAAGCGCACAAGCCTTGCATTTCCAGTATTCTTGAAGTATTCCAAATTAAAAGCAGTGAAATTGATAAAATTATATTACAATATAATAATATCAACCTCATAAAGTGGGAGCATATTCAGAATACCGTTCAATTCTGGGCCGAGGTATTGAATTACAAGGACGCAGCAGGAAACGACCAATTTTTTGAGTTGGCGAACATTGCAATTAATTTGTTAACACTGCCGTGGTCTAATGCTGAGGTGGAGAGAGTTTTCAGTCAGGTATCTCTGGTGAAGACCAAGTTGCGAAATTCAATGCAAACGGAAACTCTTAACGCAATTCTTGTAATAAGGTATATTTGTAATTATCTTTTACCACATTTATTATAATTGTAATTATTTTATGTTAAAAGATTTGGCCTACGACGACACGGATCATGCTGCCACAATTACAATATACCTAATAAGTACCTTAAAATGATTGGTACCAAAGCTGCATACTCCGAAGAGGCAACCGAGGATGACGAAATTATTGATTCTGCCATTAAACTAATCTAATTTCTGTGCTATAAATTAATAATTTCAATACTTTAACATAAGAAAACATTAAATTTTGTAATGATTAACTTTTATCCGTTTTTTTGTCCTTTTTTTCCCGGTTTTTCTTGGCTGATCTGTCCTTTTTTTTAAGCTGAGCGATGGCAGCACTGATCGTTATTCTAAAAAGCAAGATAGTAATTTGAAAGCTTTAATATGCGGAGCACGATAACAATTTGTTAACAAATTCGCGCAATAACAACGGTGCCGAAATCTCGCATATCCTCTTTGGACCGCGATTTCTTTAGAATCACATAAATAAAGTATTTGTTGGTCATCCATGCTCAAGAGATTTCTTAAGAAATCTCTGTCCAGGGAGGATATGAAATTCGAAGCTGTGGGGACTAGACTGGGACTGGGTCCCTATTAAATCAATTACAAGCAAATACATGCCAAACATTTTATAATTCGGACCACTTTTCACCCATAATATTGAAAACTTTACTCTTTGATAATAATTCTGGTATTAGAACTAACTATTTACAAGCCAAATATATTTTATTGACTCTATTCCTACCCTCTCAGAAATAAATTCTTCAGTTTTTTGTTTGTTTAACACTGTTGCACCACTCGAAAAATTATGAATATTTTATATGAAGTAGATGGTTATAGGACACACAAACTGTAAAAAATTGGCGGTGTTGTCAGACTTGGAAAGTCTTGAACCAATTTTTTGAAAATTTGAATCGCGATTTTTGTTAGCTTATAAGAATGGTAAAAATCCAAAGAATGGCTGACATTCTTGAAGGTTAACACAAAAATTATTGGCATCAAAAAAGTTTTCTCAAGAACCACCGAAGGGAAGATACATCAAGTGATATGTTCTTTAGTTGCGGCAGATTACTCGTAAACCAGCGGATCAAAATATTTGAAAATTGGAATTCTTATCCATTAGGTTCCTATCTACCAATCCTCATCTAAAATTTTGCAATATCGCCTGGGGCAGTTTTCCCAGGCTTGTTCCCCTATGCCCTTTATGAAAGTTGACTTTGTGTGGAACAGCTGATTAACAGCTGAACAAAATTCAACAATTCAAAAGTTTAGGGAACACCCTCTTTAATTTCCAAATATATTGAGAACTGGGTTTTATTGTTAACAGCTGTTGTTTAGGTTCCCAGTAGAATTGGAATTTTAGAACAAACTTTCGAACCTACTTGAATATTATATTTGTATTTATCAAAGGAGGCATTTCCGCTCCGGCTTTATAAAGTAGGCAGTTGTACTCGTGGCCAAATCAGAAAAAAATTGAATCAAGTTAGCCTTGTTGAGAAATGTCAAACGAACGAGAAACCTGACCCCCCTCAGCTCGGTAAATATTCAGTACAGTTCAACGAGTCGTACAGGTAACATCAAATTTGTCTAAAAATAAATATTTTTTTTTAGTTTTTAAAAACGAAAAATTTTAGGAACTTTCTATCGGTATGGATGACTGGATGCTTAAAACTGTCCGCGACAGGGGACGCCCAGACACGTCCCTCAACATCGCAGACTACATCCGCAGCCGGGAAAGCGGCCTCCGCGATCGGCGCAGTGTAAACTTCGATTACGCCAGCCGCTATGTCCTAACCAAGGACATGTTGCGCGAAACGCCGATCGGCCTGCCCGACGCCACCAACGGGATCCTTTGCTCGAAGTGGCTGGACAGCCGAAAGGTGGTCTGCGGCACGAAGTCCAATCAAATGCTAGTCTACGACGTGAAAACGCGGCGGTTGGAGGAAATACCCACGATGTTCAGGGATCCGGAGGACAAGGTTGGTCTGCAGGTTATCGAATTGTCGCCCAGCCGCAGCTATCTGGCCACCACTGCACGCAATTCCTTGGACATTGCAGTGTACCGGCTGCCAACGTTGGACCCTGTATACTTGGGCGAGGGCGGGCACCGCAAGACAATAAGGGGCATGGCCTGGCTGGATGACCAGTTCCTGGTCTCCGGCTCCTTCGATTCCGGCATCGTGTTGTGGCGCATCAAGGAGGAGTTCCCGGATAGTGCCTTGGCCACAATCAATCCGCTCAATGTCATGACGGTAAGCAATGACCAGGGGATCCGTTCCGTTTGCTTCAACAAGAAGTTCAACGAGATCGCCGCCGTCTCGCCAAACAAATGCATGCACATCTTCAACGCGGATATTTTCGAGCAGACGCTCTCCGGCAAACTGCCAAGCTCCCAGTACAATACGCACATTGCCTGCCACAGCGACGGTCTGTATGCCGTACGTTCTATGGACACTGCTATCCTGCTGGTCACGCGGACGCTCCAGACCATCAAGGAGATCAGCTTCGAATCCTACGACGGCAATTATATGTCCATATCATTCGAGGGCAACCTCATGACCGTTGGCACCAGTGGGGGCATGCTAAATTTCTACGACATCCGAGCTGGAAAATTTTTGGAGAACAGTGTGAGGTGCAGCCCCAAACTGGACCACTACCGGGATATGAACTGGAAGTTCTCCGTCTTCACCCACTGCTACGACAGCACCAGGATGCGAATCTTCACAGCGGGCAGACTACGGTGCAACTTGAAGGGCTATGCGGCCGTTTGGCAATAAATAAGCAGAGGATGCGATACACACAATGCAAATAAAGGAATACTAATTTAAAGACAATGCAGCAAAAAAAAATAGTGGTATTTTCGTGATCTTCGTGGCTTCAACACTGACACAATTTGCCATCAATTGCTGTGGAGCATTTTGGCTGTAAACTAGTCCCATCTAGGTGCTATTTTTATATAATTGACAACATACAAAATGTGTTAGCTTGTTTATTGTTTTCTGTCCAACTCTTAATGGGGCGCAAATTTACGATCCCCTGTGCTTCGTGCCAATAATCATAATAACAATTATTCTAATTGCATTTGGCATTTGCATTTGCAAGATCTGGAGGCACAATTAACGACTCTCGACTCTCGAAATAGTGCATTAAAAGACCACAGAAATGCAATTAATTGAGTGGGTTTCATGGCAAATAAACCAATCTTATTTATGATTTCAGTGAATCGAATTTGTAGTTGAGTAGTATGAATATGTACGTAAATTCCAGGGTAAAGACATTTCCTTTTAGTTATTTATTTTCTTTTTGGCCACGCCCAGCCTGTTGAATCTGGCCATTGTGGCCATCGTGTGCGACATTTGTTGGCACTTGGGCCTCAGTTCGAAATATGCAACAAATAAACACGACCGACGACACCGAGATCGTCGAAGGAGCAACCAAACCTCACCATTCCACTCAGATACCCAGATACTCAGATGAGCCAGCTGCAGTTGGCCATGAGCCAGAAATTAGCCAGCCATGCAAAGGCGACAGGGGCGTTGTCACTAAAGGGGGGCTTAGGAGTCCTGCCATTTTTAGTCAGAAAAAATTTGGTATTTATTATTAATAGAAATTAATTCAGAATGAATTTTTATTGATTTTATTTTAATTTTGTAAAATAATTAAATTAGAGGCGCTGTCACTGAAATAAGGCTTATGAGTCCTGCATTTTTATTCAGAAAAAAATTATAAGAACTTCTTCATAAATTGTATGGTATTTATTTTTTGATTTGGTAAAATTTGATAATAATAAATGAATACGAAATTTTATTTTATTTATTGTCAATTTTTGTAAAATAATTAATTTTCATTACTTAACGTTCACAAAGTTTTTGGAATACTTGCACCATATCTCCGCCCCCTTCCAGCGACTATGTCTTTCTAGTTTTCCTGAGCACCCAAAAAGCTCGAAGTGGCTGTGTGTTTTTCTCACTTGCAAACCCAAAGTCCCCGTAACTTCCCATTTACCCCGATCCAAGTGCAGCTGCCTTGCAACTTGAAAATAGCTAAGCAGCTGGCAGGGCAAATAAATCAAATGAATTGCATTTGAGGCAAATGGAAAAGGGCTGTCCAAGCTGTTGAGATGATAAGTGAGTGAGTGAAGTTGAGATTCGTTTTGGGTATTCGTATTTGTTGAACACTTTTGCTTTCGCTTTCGCTTGCTAGTGTGCTGTGCAACACTTAATTAGCTGGCAGCTCTTTGATTGATTGATTTTCCACGCAGAGTGCGACTATTATTTATGTGATGCGACCCACAACCCACATTTGCAAAAGTTAACTTACTTATTGAAACATTTTTCGAACAGACTCCTGACATTTTGTGCCCCATTTGCAAGCACTCTTTTTCAATTTGTCCAACACTGGCGCTCAAATTGCATTTTGTTCCGCATTTTGCAGCACTCAAATGCATTTGCAGCGGCAACACAAATTCGATTCCATTGACAGGTACATGACAGCCATCGTGAGGCGGTGGGAAAATGCCACCCATCCACTGGCCAACCTTGAATGCATTTCCCCCGCCGCTGGAGCATTCATAGAAATGATTTACGAGATGATGTGTGCGAATGAAGAAAGGGAGAAGTAAAAGCGTAGAAAAATTTGTCAAACACTCATATCCCGCTGGCATTTACAGTTCGAAAATGTACTCTTTTTTTAAGATCAAATAATAAATATATAGATTAATTGGTTAAATCATCTATCTATATTTTATTTATAGAAACATTGTAATTTATTTGACAATTATATACAAACTTTTATAAAATATTAATAATATATAAGAAACGCAATAGTTATGTTAAATATTATTCAAAATAAAAGTACGTTCTTTCTGTTTCTAAATAAATATTTACTTGTCGTTGGGTTTTATCATATTTTTTATTTATTTAATTTGTATTTCTGTTAAATATTAATTATTATATGAAATTTTGTTTCAGCCGCAAGGGAGCCAACCGTCAACGTGATAACCATCATCAGTACCAGCAATATAAATAATAATAATAATAATAATAGCAATAGTGCCACCAATAATAACCACCATAACAACGGTGGTCAACCGGAAACGGAAATTGGGGCTGTGGAATTGCAGCCACAACAACAACAACAACAACAACTGCAATTGCAGCCGGCGTCGAATTTCGTGGCCATTCCATTATTGGAACGACGGCGTCGCAGTCGCAGCCACAGTCGCAGCCATTGCCGCATTGCGCCATTGGCGCCGATCATCTGCATCCAGAACGGATCCTCGCACCCGGAGGACCTCGTCCGCCTGTCCCGCTCGCGATCCTGCCTGCTGCGCGTTCGCAGGACCCTCGCCAAACGTGAGTAGTGGCTAAAGAGAATGTATATTTATTAATAGGAATTCGTGGGGTTTATGTCATTCATATCCCAATTTTAAGACCCAAAAACGTTACTTATTTTAATTATTTTTATATATTTTTTTAATTGCCAAAAATGATTTACAAAAATATCAAAAATATCTTAATTTTAAGACAAAAAGTTTCTTATTTTAAAACATTTTTGATTTATTTTTTTTTAAACATAAAACAAACTCAAAAATTTTTTTTTAAAAACTGTACTTTGAAAGAAAGTAAAATTTACTTGTAATATTTTAAAAATTTTTTATATTTTTCTAAACAAAAAAAAAAGTAACACATATTGAGTGGCTATTAAATAAACACATAAATTATTTTTAATTATATATTTTTTTCACAATTGGTTGCTTTTACAGAATTCTGAAATCTGAACTTTATACTTTAAATTGACAGTTCATTTATTTCGTTCCACCCAAAAAAAAAATCTGTATTTATATTGCCCAAAAACTGCACTTCCATTTAAGCCTTTTAACGTCTATTTTCATTTGCCTCAATCTCCGCCAGCTTCACTTCGATTTCCCCGCTTTCCCGCCGCCATTTTCCTCCGCTTGCCCTCAGCTTGACTCTGTGTCAGCAATTTTAATTGAATTGCTGTGATTTCCCTCGTTTTGTTAGTGTTGTCCACGGGGTTGTTGTTGTTGTTAACCCTTTGGCCGCCGCTCTTAAATCGTTTTCTTGTTTTTTCACCCAGTTTTTTGTCATCCTCTTTTTTTTTGATTTCTCTCCACAGTTTTTGGCAAAATCATGGGCAGCAATAATCCCAGCGAAGCGGATCGATATGACTATTATGACTGTGAGTAAAATGCAAACTCATTTCCATATCATATTTTTCTTACCTATTTCTCCTTTTTCGCTCGTTATCGTACGTTATATATATTTTTTTATTTTTAAGTATTTTCTTTGTTTCGCTGTGTGAAATATAAAATGGAAATCTGTTAGTCATTAAACATCAAGTGCGCAATTGACGGGGAGATAAACGAATACCTGTTCCATACAAAATAAATATTCCCTTTATGGTGTAGGTTGGCTGATTTAAATATTTATATTTTTTAATTCACCACGCGGGGTATATGGAATTTATAATTAACCTTTTGGGAAAACAAATAAAAATCACTTTTGTCTGAAATTCAAGAATGGGTCAATAAATTGTTCTTATTCGAGTCGGTGATTAATTATGGTTATTTAATGTGAATTAAACTGATTGATTATTTTGTAATTAATCTTTAATCCTGTGTTGGTGGGTTAATGCTATTGACTGGGAATATATATATAAATATATATAAAACTCATAACCAATAACTCATAAACTCACAGTAGAAAGATTTAAACCTTTCATAGCCTAAAATTGGCTTAAGAGACCTTTAATTGGTAAATCCCAGCGAGTAATTAATAGTGAACTAATTAGTTTACTTCGGTTCGATTAAACACTTTGCAACCACAGTCGCCTTTGAGTTCCGGAATCTTGGGATATATGACTTTGTCGGCCACAATCAAAGCGGTTTTATTGATTAATTTCCGGTTAAGCGGGCTCTTCAACATTTGTCACCGCCCGCAAAAGTATACAATAGATTCGAGTACGAGTTCGAGTTCTGCTCAAGTCCTCAAGTGGAAAATCGGTAAAGGAAAATCTGGGTAGATTTTCTGCGTCCTTCTGTGGCGGGCTTTCACTGTGGTTTGCCTTCAGTGCGGTTTCGGCGCTCGATGGATTTTATCAAGCATACGCCCGAGTGGCAAAGGGAACCAAATTGGTTTCGCATGTGCAGATAAAGTGGTAAAACAATCAAATATATACAGTCGACGAATGTTTTAACTTTTATGCAAGGGTACTGAAATTTTTGGATTTCCTAAAACTTTATTTATAATGTAAATTTATTAATCACATTTATTTTTGAAATGACCTTGACTTGCTTTAAAAAATAGATACTATTTTAAAAATGTATTATACAAAATGTAAGTCAAATAAAATGTAGTTGTTGTAAATGATTCAATATATAATAAGTATTAGCATACTTTTAGATTGTTTGCTGCGAAGGAAAAGCATTAATCCATCATAATATTTACTTCTTTTCGATTCTTTTCGCATCATGTCTCTCTTTGTGGCTTCTTCCTTTCGTTGCCTTCTTGGTGCCTCCGTTTTCATCTCATTTTCTTGTGTGCCTGTGTGCGTGCCAGTGTGCGTGAGTATCTGTGTGTGTGGCACTTCAAATTGCGGCAAGTGAAAGCTATAGCAGAAAATCAATAAGACACCAGAGACACTGACTGCGGAGGAGTCGGAAAACACTGGAGAATTCGGTGCACAGCGGCAAAAATATATCGAGTTATTTAAATCGTTTTGCGGAAAATGGGAAAAATTGTTCTAAAGCTTAGTT